GGGGCCCAAAACGGTCAAATATGACCCCCATCCCCTTCTAACCCATTTACACTATAAATATACCATTTTTTTCCATTTTAAATCACAAATTCAATACTTATACAATCTTAACAATCTCTCAAAGTCTCAATTATAAATCTCTCATAAATTATTAATTATTATATTGTGATATTGAGTTGGAGTTTGAATTTCGGAAGCTACAATAGGCATCTATCAAATCCGGCTTTGGTTATACTTCTACTTTTACGTAGACGTTTGGTGCATTCGTTCCAACTATCAACTTTAATTTTTATTTGTTTATTAATTTAGTTATTTTATCTCTTTTATTATATTATTTTGCATGTTTTTCTCATAATATTTAATTGTTTTAAATTTTAACATGAATTCTGAAAAAAATAGTGGTAAAAGACTAATATCAGAATTTTAAAAAAAAAGGAGGAGTAAGTAGTTCTTGTTCTAAAAATTTGTCACCTAGATATATATTTAATACTAATGATTATACTTGTGTTAATGGAACTTTTTTTACGTCACCAAGACCTATTGAATTTAATTTTGAAAATGAAGTAGATCATGAGTCTTTAAATAGACATTATACTAATTTTGAAGAAGAATTAGAAGAAGAAGTAGAAATAAATGAGGAAGATGAAGAGACCCCTACCCCGACTAGTCCGGTTACCGAAGTTCCCTCTTTACCTACTTTTTCAAATGTCGCCGTCGTACGTGTTAAAAGATCGTTAGTATGGAAATTTTTTATACAAAAAGAGGAGAAAACTATTGTTACGTGCACTAAATGTAAATTGGTAATGAAACATGTAACTACGGGTACACAAGGGGGAACAGGACGACTAAGAACACATTTACGAAAGTGTAATAAAGAATTTGCTCACCTAGATGATATAGAAAGAGCTAATAGAAATGGAACACCCATACCCGAAAGTTCTATGGGTGTTGGAGGTTCTAATATGGTTCAAGGTGTATTAAATATGTCTAACCCGGCTAGTCAAAGCACACACCGCACGTATAGTAAAGAAAAAGATCGTAGAGAATTAGCTAAAATGGTTGTTGTTTGTGGTTTACCTTTTTCATTTCCTTCTTATCCTGGTTTTGTTCATTATATTCGAGAATTATATAACCTAGATTATGAAGGTATTCCAAGAAATACAATTAAAAGTGATCTTTTTAAATATCAAAAAGAATATTCTCATTTTCTTTGTTGTTTATTTGCTTATTATGATGGTAGATTATCTATTACTTCTGATATGGGACGTAGTCCTAATGGTAACGATTATTTTACACTTACTGTCCATTGGATTGACCATGAATGGAACATGCAAAAAGGAATATTAGCGTATACATATGTTGAAGAAACTAAAACCGGTTCTTATATAGCAGCAAAAGTAGGCTCTATTTTACAATATTATGGAATATGTGATAAAATAATGAGTGTCACTTTAGATAATGCTTCTAATAATTTAAGAGTTGTTGATTATTTAAAAATTAGACTTTGTCCAATTGATAATGGTTGTTTTCATATTAAGTGTGCCGCACATGTTTATAATTTAATAGTAAAAGATGGTATTTCTCAATTTGGAGTTTCTTGTGAAAAAATTAGACTTGCTTGTAATTGGATTGTTAAAGCTAAAGTAAAAGCTAGAATTACTGAATTTAAAAATCGTTGTGATGAATGTGGACTTGCATATAGAAAAATTCGAAAAGAAATATGCACTAGATGGAATTCTTTATTTGAAATGCTTCAAGTTGCTTATGTTTATCAAGAACCGCTACAATTAGTTTTTAATGCTCATAATGTGGATCCGAGTTTAAGAATTGTCTTTGAAGATTGGCAAAATACAAAAGAACTGATTGATTTTTTAAATATTTTTTATAAAGCAACAAATGCATGCTCTGGTCAATATTATCCTACTATTTCTTCTGTTTTAGTAAATATTTGTGCTATTTCAATTGAATTTGCTAAATATAAAGGAAAAGAACATTTTAAAGATTCAATTGCTTTTATGATTGAAAAATTCAAAAAATATTTTTTCCCTATTCCTCAAATCTATTTGACTGCTACTACTTTCAATCAAAATTATAAATTAAGAGGTGTTGAAAGAATGGTTGAAAAGATTTATAAAAATTTAGAAATTAAAGATAATGAAATTTTTAGTGTTGAACAATGTAAAAGTAACATGTATACAAAAGTTAGAGATTCATATAATGCATATAAAGTTATGGAAAAAATATTCCAATAGTTGAACTTCATCTTCTAAGCCTAAAAGTGATGATAAAGATGATATGATGGATGAATATCTTGAGCTTGAAAGTGATGAAACAAATAATGATTTTGATTTATATTTCAACCACACGGGAAAAGATTAGGCGTGAAGAAGGAGAACTTCAACCTCGAATATTAAATTGGTGAAAGAATCGAGAAAATCAATTTCCGACCCTTTCTCGGATTGTTCGAGATGTGCTAGTGATTCAAGCATCATTAGTCTCTTCGGAGCAAGCCTTTAGTGCGACGAGATTTATGATTGGAGATCATCGATATTCATTAGCAAAGGACAATTTGGAAATATCGGTGTTATTTCGAGATTGGGTCAATGCCGAAAGAAGAAACACCGGACTACCACTATTAAGTAGCCATATAGAAGACCAAATAGATGAAATATTTGGTGAGAATAGTAATGATGGTATGGAAGCAATGGAAGAAGAACGACAAATGCCAATTCCAAAAAATATTTCTTTTCAAATGATACAAAATTTACAAAAAGAATTTAAAAAAAGATGCAATTGTTAGTATAATAATTACTATTCAATTCCTCCTAAATTATGTACTCTTATTCTCTTTCTAATATTTGTATTGTATAATTTATTTATTTGAATAAATATACGGCTATTCGCCTTTATTTTCTTTTATATTAGTCTCTTCTATTTAATTCATGTCATTTTATAAATTTAATTTTTAATTATTTTAATAAAAAATTATATTAAAACTTTAAATTCAATATAAACTTTAAAGTTTAAATTTAATTTCAAACTTTAAATTCAATATAAAGTTTAAAAAAATTTAAATTCAATTTTAAACTTAAGTTCAATATAAAACTTTAAATTCAATTTTAAACTTTAAATTCAATATAAACTTTAAAGTATAAATTTAATTTCAAACTTATATAAACTTTAAAGTTTTCGATTGAAGTTTTAATATAATTATATGATATTATATAATAATTAAAATAATTAAAATTAAAAAAAATAAAAATACCGGATGAACCGGTAAGACCCGGTTCCAAACCGGTTACTAACGAACCGGGCGGAACAAGGTGATTTTTCCGATAAATCCGGTCCGATAAAATCCGTTATCGGTAAGAAAATCCGGTAAGAAAAATTCGGTACCGGTTCGATTACCGATAAAGCTGGTCATGTTGACTCGGTCCTGTCCGTTTGCCAGCCTTAGCTGCGACCAAAAAACCTTTCGTCGTCGTGGTCAGCTCCTCGTGTAGTCTCCTTCCTAGTTCTCCCTTTCACTATTTTTTTTCTCCACATCACTAACGATCCTCTACGAACCATCGGAAATGACGTCTCCTCTCCATCCTCTTAGTGTACTAACAAACTTCATCTCCTCCCATTCCACCGAAAAGGGGTCAGCCGTTGCCTCTCTCCCTCTCACACCACTGCAAAACGGCAAGCACCACCATGAAAAAAACGCTTCTTCCACCCTCCACTGATAAAACCCGTGAAATCTGACGTCACGAAAGTGTCAATGTCAAGATCAGCTAAAGAAGATAACGACAGGGCGTGGAGAACAAAGAAAAATGGGGTTGGGGCAGCAGTGGGGTGGGGGTGGGGTGGCTTAAAAAAAAAGGTGGTGTGGGAAAGTTTTTTCCTTTTTAAATTTATTATTTTCTTTTCTTATAATTTTAATAATTTAAAATTAAAAGTAAAAATTAAAAGTATCACGTTCACTTGTTTTAACAGGCATGTGATTACACTCTCTTGCCAACTCATCTATATTAATGTCACATAAGGATGGCCAATGGTTAGAGGGTCTTAATATGTTGTGTTTTATTGAGTATACGAGTTCAGTTGACAAAATATTAAATAGAAGAGTGCACAATATAAACTCGTACAAGTATAAGGGTCCACCAAACCATTTCGTCAAAAATTAAATTATGCATAACTTTGTCGTAATATTTTGTATATAAATTTTTAGGCAAATTATGGAAATCACATACTTTAAAGGCAAAATTACAATCTATCCCTTAAAAGTTTACAATTACAAAAATTTATCAAACGGATACATTGATGGAGGGCCTGGATATATTAATGGCCAAGAAATTAAAGCGTTGATACATTAAAAAGAGGGTCGGATACATGTGCTGATACATTAAAAAGAGGGTCGGATACATTAATGGAGGAACTGAATACATTAATGGCCAAAAAATCAAAATGATGAAACACTTAAAAGAAGATCGGATGCATGCGCTGATACATTAAAAAGAGAGTCAGATACATTAATAGCATTTTTTACTTAAAAAAAAGAGGAATTTTGGAGTTTGGTGAAACTTACAGGGGATAATGGTAATAAGTAAACTAAAAGATGAAATATCTGTAATTATTCCTAAAATTTTATAATATTGGGCCCGTAATCCATATTAATACCGTCATTTTTTCTAGTATTTTGATAAAATTAAGTCCTTATTATTGTTAATTTTGGGTCAGACTCTTTCCCTAATAAGCATATTATTTCTATTGTTCTTAAACACATTCTTTTCATGATAAAATATCATAACCCAAAACTATAGACCATTGCGATTAGGCCTGGGCGTTCGATCGGTTCTGTTCGTAAATATCGATTCGATTTTTCGATTTGGCCAAATATGAAATCGAAATAAATTCGATTTGATTCGATTATTATAAATTTAGTTTGGTTTATTTCGGTTTGATTTAACCAAATTTAATACAAAAAATGGTAAAACGGCCATCGTGATAACTAAATATCGACTCAATCGATAATAATAAAAAAAAACTATGAAAAGTCAAGACAACATCACAACAACACTAGAAAGTTCAACAAATTTGTATCCATCACTAAAATAGAGTTAGTTACAAACTAAAGTCATCATTATCTAGATCATTGCAACTTCCAGCAATAAAGAGATTTAGAAAACCAACAAAACATCGCTGCAACTTGCAACCTCCATTGCAATAGCTCCCAAGTTCTAGCAGATAGCAACCAAGAAAATGACAAAACATTGATGGACCTGCGAGAAAACAGAACTGTTCAGACAAATGATCTACATTTCATAATAGAATATATAAAACTATCAAGCAAGTTATGTAAATAAGTTCTTTACTTACTCGTTACTGCACATCACTAGTTGATAGTTGAACTTACAAGCTGCAACTATATATCAATTATACTAGATTCAGTCCCACTACAAGCAAAAATCTAAAAAAATATGAAAGAATTTGTTGGTTGTTAAGAAACACAAGTAACAAAATTATTTTCAATATAGTTAATACAAATATCAAATTCATACCAAGTTCAAGTTGTTCAAGATACTCTAAATCTTCCTCAATATTGATTGAAAAATACTCACTTCTAAGCCAATCTTGAACACAAATAAGCGATTGCACAATTTTAGGAGTTAATGAACTCCTAAAGGGATCAAAAACACGACCTCCAGTGCTGAATGCACATTCTGATGCGACACTTGAAATGGGAATGGCTAGCACATCACGAACCATCTCCGCGAGAATAGGAAATCTCGGCTCATTAACTTTCCACCACATTAATATATCAAAGTCATCACTATCTGACTCAATATCTTCCGCAAGATATCTTTCCATTTCTGATTTATTAGCTGAACTTCCACTAACTTCTTTATGCTTCTCAAATTGTTGTTTTGTTCTCAATCTTCCTCTATTTACAAAGTTGCCACAACCACTCACACTAGATATACTTGATGAATTGTCAGATGAAGTGGGTGAATATGGTACATGTAAAGAGCTTTTTGGGGATTTCTTGACATAATACCCAAACAGTTTGTTCATGTATTTTTTCACTTCTGAACATAGATTTTCCCCAACTTCTTTTCCAAACATATCCACAATTGAAAATGGAACATAATCAAGCTTGTTACGGGGATCCAACACAGATGAAATAAAGATCATCTTGTTCATATTTTGTGGTTCACCCAAATACTTTTTGAAATTTTCATTCATACTTTCCACCATTTCTTTCAAATTACGATCTTCATTTGTCATTATCTCTTTCAAAATAAGATTAAGTTCAGCAATTTCAACAAAGTGTGTATTGCTAGTGACATAATTAGAACCAGAAACCTTCAAAGTAAGTACATAAAAGTTTCAAGAAATTTCACCATTGACCTCACATTTTTCCAGTCAACACTTGAAAGAATATTTGCAGTAGTTCCATCTTCAACACTAAATTCATCTTCAACACTAGTTCCATCTTCAACACTAGTTCTATCTTTGTTTTCAGAAGAATCAGAACCAAAGGTACGAAAATGATTCAAGTATCCAATATCATAAAAACTATATCTTTCAAATGCAAGCTCAAAATGTTGTGCTATATCAAGCATCGAAATATGTAGAGTTCCACCAAGTAGGAACATCTAAACATAATGATTTCATAGAAGTTATCAATTCAGATTCACAACATTCTTTAAACTTTCTAAGTATTGTGGGAGATTGTTTAATGTATTTCACGGCTTGTCTCACTAGCTTGACAGACTTACCAATTTCCTTCAACCCATCTTGCACAATAAGATTAAGGATATGTGCCATACACCACACATGAAGATGGTCACCATCCATAATGTTAGTTCTCCAATTGCTCAATTCTTAAGACATTTCTTTCACAGTAACATCATTAGAGCTAGCATTATCAACTGTAATAGTAAACACATTATTCTAACCCCATTCAAGCAAGCAATTAGTAATGCAAGCCGCCATATCCACGCCCTTATGACAAGAAATAGGACAAAAAGTTATTATTCTTTATGCAAAATCCAATTTCTATCTATAAAAAGGGTTGTCAAACACATCTAGTTTATTTTTTGTATAGAGATCCAAGTATCTGTTGTAAGACAAACTCTTGGACGTGCTTCTTTGAAAACCTTCTTCAAAAGTCTTTTTTCTTCAAGGTATAGTTCATAACAATCTCTCGTCACAATTCTATGAGAAAGAATACGAAATTGTGGCATTGTAACTCTCATGAAGTTTTTAAAACCCTCTTTCTCAACAAAACTAAATGGTAGCTCGTCAATAATTCTCATTTTGGCTAAAGCTTTCCTACTTTGTGCTTGGTCAAATTTTCAAGTGCTAATGACCCCTTCCTTTGCTCCCGTTGAAGATGGTAGAAAATTAATTAGATTTTGACCTTTATCTACGGTGACACGAGGAAATTTAGGACATGTTCTCATACGAGTATTCATTGATAACGTACCATTAGATGATGTAGAAGCTGCATAAACTTTTGCACAATACTTGCATTTGGCTTTACTAGCTCCATTTTCATCGGTGAACTTTTCAAAATGCTTTCAACAATTAGGTCTAGGTTCCATGGTTTTTCTTTTCTTTGAAGTATCAACATCAACTTCAACCTCATTGGGAGATGAGGTGTAAGGTATGCTCTCATTTGAAGCTCCACTTTCACTTCCCTTACTTCCAGTTTGTGCCATCTATACAAAAGTGAAACAAACAACAAGAACAACAATCAACAAAGTTACAAGGATCAGGATTCCGGCATCTTGATACGTTACTTCTCCATATTTGGATTAAAATAAATCATTGGTTTTTTCCCCTTTCAATAACTTAGTTCACGCATATTATAAATACACCACCCTCTCATAATAATAAATTGACTATGTACTTGGTGGCATACTAATTGAAGAGGGATATATCTACAATTAATTAGTAGTATAAGTTATTTTTTTTAAAATGTTCAAAAAATAAAAAAAGACATATTTTGAGTGTCACTAGGAGTAATATATATGTTCAAGAAAAATAATACCTTTTTTATATTTTGATGTACTTTTACGTTTCCCCTTATCATTAATGACATATTTTATAGTAAAAAATATAATAACATGTCTAAAATTACACAGTTGAAGCAGAAATAGATTCACAATTTCAAAATTGAAGTTTATAAAAGATTTAGGTAAATTAATACTACAATAATGATTTGTTTTAAATTTTTCTCCATATTTGGATTTGGCAACAACCTTGGAATTCTATTTTAAGAGGAATTTTGAAGAAGCTGTTATTTGTGGAAGTTTGGCACAAGCTTGGTTATCTTCTTTCTTTCACTACTACTATTATTATTATTTATATTTTGGATTTGTTTTATAAAGGCATAAGAAACTTACGAGTGATGAAAACGAGAGATGAGAGTTGAGAGATGAATAAGAGTGGTGGCTATGGGCCTGTGGCACGCCGGCGGGCGGCGACCGACGACTGGCGAGTGCTGGTGGCGGCGGAGACAACTGGCGGCGTGACGGACGGACGACGGTCGACGATAGAGGGTAGGTCGGTGGCGGTGGACGTGTTTGGTGTTTCAAAGAAGAAGGTTTCACTTTCAGACTTCACTGTTAATTTAGGGATTTATTATTTAGGAAAATTGGCTTGGGGCTTGGGTAATTGGGTTATGGGTATTTGGGTTAGGATTTAAGAATTTGAATAGTTGGGCTTGGGATGAGTAATAGGAATTTATATAGTTGGGCTTGGGAGGATTAGGATTTAGGAATGGGTTATGGGGTAACAACAAATAACAATTATGTATATATATATATATATATATAATTTTGGTTTTTCGGTTAATCGAATTTTTAAATCTAAAAACCGAAAACAGAACCAAAATACCAAAATATTAAAACTCAAAATCGAAACCGAAATTAAAAATAATTCGGTTCGATCAGCTTTTTCGATTTGAACCATATTATGCCCAGACCTAATTGCGGTAACATCAATAGTACGTTGATTGTGTGCCTATGTCATCTTTTAACAATCGTCTACTATTTATTAATTGGATAAAAGATAAATATATCTTCGAATTATTTAAAATGATATGCAGATACCTTCCGTCATATTTTTGGTATAATAGTGTCTCTATTGTCCAAAAATTAGAACATATATACCCTTTATACTAACTGACGTACACATGTCATAATCTTATCCAACGATCCAATATCAAATTGATGGATAAGATTGTGCCACGTTCCCTATTTAGTCTTCTGTTAAATTGAAGGGCATATGTGCTCTAATTTTTGGACGGTAGGAGCACCAATGTCCCAAAAATATGACAGAGGGTATCAGTTTACTATTATGATAGTTGAAGGGTATATTTGTCATTTTTTCTTTATTAATTCATGCACGCAACACACGCAAAAAAAAAAATTAATGGAATTCCAGGTTCAGTCTTAATACCCCAAATCAAAAGCAACAAACAATCCAAAAAAAATTAAAAGATTAGCATTAATTTTAACTTAAGGTTATTTGAATTAATGGGATTAGCTAGGTTCAATGAAAGTATTAACTTTTGTTTAGATAACTTAACAGTTACACAGTATAAAAAAATTAAAAATTCAAACTGAAAAAGGAAACAAGAACAACTTTTTTTTAAAAGAAAAATGGTCACTCTTGATTCAATATTATTGTTTGTCCTATTTTTTCTTCCTTACATAGTCACCTCTCGTGATGTTACCAATTTATATGGATTATGTCTCTCTAATGAATCTGACAATCAACCACACAATAATATTATTCATACTGTATGGTCAAAAAACTACAAATCTATTCTTGAATCATCTATACACAATGCTAGGTTCAATAATTCCAATGTACCAAAACCATACTATATAATTGTGCCACAAAATAAAGAGCAAGTGAGAGGAGCTATGATTTGTTGCAAAAAAATAGGATTTGAGAGTAGAATTAGAAGTGGTGGACATGACTATGAAGGTCTTTCATTCATTTCTTACAAACCTTATTGTCTAATTGACCTATCTAGTCTCCGAAAAATCGATATCGACGTAGAAGAAAAGACTGCATGGGTAGAAGCTGGAGCTACAATAGGGGAACTTTACTACAACATTGGTAATAAGAGTAGAACTTTAGGTTTCCCAGCAGGAACTTGTCCCTCAGTAGGTGTTGGAGGTCATATAAGTGGTGGTGGACAAGGACCTTTGATGAGAAAACACGGCCTCGCAGCAGATAACGTGCTCGATGCCACCATCATCAACGTTAATGGAACGATTTTCGATAGGAGAGGCATGGGAGAAGACCTATTTTGGGCTATCAGAGGTGGTGGAGCAGCTAGTTTTGGGGTGGTTCTATCTTGGAAGTTACAACTAGTCGAGGTACCACCCGTGGTCACTCTCTTCACCGTTGCTCGAACTCAGGAGGAAGGTGCTACTAAGCTTGTGAAAAAATGGCAAAAACTAGTAATGGAATTCCCCAAGGAGCTTTTCCTAAGAATAAACATAAACCCTAAAAAGGACTCTTTAGGGAGACCATCGATACTAGCTTCATTTAACTCGTTGTATCTAGGAAAGAAGAGTCATCTTCGGAGACTAATGAGAAAGAAATTCCCAGAATTGAAGTTAAAGTCTAAAGATTGTGAAGAGATGAGCTGGATAAATTCAACAATAAGGATAGATAGTTATAGAAAAGATTCAAGAATTGAAGATTTATTAGAAAGGAATAAAGAAAAGAAACTTACATTTTATAAAACAAAATCAGACTATGTGACAAAACCTCTATCAGAAAAGGCATTACAAGGATTATGGGATGTGTTCAAAAGTACAGGAGATGGACTTTTGATTTTGACTCCTCATGGTGGAAAAATGAGTGAAATATTAGATGATGCAATTCCATTTCCACATAGAAAAGGAGTTTTGTATAACCTACAATATTTTGCACTATGGCATCATCTTAATCTAACTGTAGAAAAGATAAAGTTTGATTGGGTTAATGGTGTTTATGATTACATGGGGAAGTTTGTTTCAAGCCCAAGAACAGCATATCTAAATACAAGGGATTTGGAATTGGGAAGAACACTAATTGGAAATGAGAAATACTCACAAGCGCAGAGTTGGGGTGAAATGTATTTCAAAAGAAATTTTGAGAAATTGGCTAGGGTCAAATATAGTGTTGACCCAACAAATTACTTCAGAAATGAGCAAAGTATCCCACCTCTTGCTCCATAACTTTTTAAATAAAACATTGTAAAGTTTCTCCTTTGTTTTTAATTAATTCAAGGTTCAAAATGTTGACAATTTTATAAAATACTAACAATCTCATATTCCACATTGTCTAAAATGTGAACAATCGGAACAAAGGCATTGCCCAACAATATCCAAAAGCAGATGTTGCAAAGGTAAGCCTTTTCTGTACAACTCCTCAACTACTGCAAATTATCTTTATCAACAAAGACACAAATGGGCAAGTTTTCAACTATTGCTCTCCCCCAAAATTTTGTTTGTCAATCATGCACATTCTCCCTTAGCCAACTACGACAATAAACTAGCCTTGAACAATAAGCGCTGCTCGCTGCTCAATAAAGAGAACCACTTTCTTAGACACTCAGTTGGATCACATGGATTTGCAGCTGGTGCAACTTCAATGTTACTTTCAACAAGTTCCTCAAAGCCGAGTGGAACGAGCCCAATTAAAGCAATTCCAATGGAGAACTGGAGGTGGACACCCATTCTTTTGGAGTCGCGTTGCGAAAGTAATGCACAGAAAGAGTTTCTTAACCTCTGAATCCCAACATCTTCATATCCAAAAGCTTCGAGTCCACGCCTGTAAGAGATATCATATATAAATGTTGGTTGAGCATGAACTGACTAAAACCAAAGAATATAACGCCGCTATAAACATAAAACACAAACACAATTAAGATATAGAAGCAGTGAGGTTATAATAACAAGCCCTCCATCCAAAGGTCAATTTATTTCATCCAACTGATGGTTCTAATATAATCAAATGCCGAAAAAATCAACTTGTGGTATTCCAACACTGTTCCCCATCAATTTCATTCCAAAAGCTGGTTACAAAATCATCCATACAAAAGTAAATTCAGATACCCCACTGCTATGTGAAGTTTCATCTTTTCTATTGCTGATACGGAGTACTCTAGCCAATACAGAATGAGTTTGTTCATTCATCATGTCGCTGACTATAAGGCAATAAAAACCTAATTTTCTTGATATGTACAAATATAATATAAGTAAACTATCCATAAATGCGTCTTTTTTTAACTTTATCATTTCCTGTTTATGTCCATAGCCACGTCTTAAAGCTTTTCTCCATTGGAACACCTATAAACATAGATAGGTTTATGCTAATTCTGTCTACCAAATCAATGAAATACTGAGGTTAGTGTGAGTCCAAAAGAGATCAGGCCAATAATGTCCATTAAAGTTCTTATTTGCATGAGTGCTATAGCATAGACCAACAATGGGAACACGGTTGGGAACAATTTGAGTTCGTTCGGTTCCCAGAGCAGATGTACTATGATCAATCAGAGTACATAACTGACAACATATACATGTTTGGATGGATGAACTGGTCAAAAAGATTTTTGGATGGCCAAACAAAAACTTATAAAACGCATCCAATATCAGCAATGCCACTTATATTGAACTATGAAAAAACTTCAAGATAGGGAGAGTTATAATAAAGATCAGGGTATTATCCCATAAGAAATGCAATGATTTGGTTCATAACAAAGGCTGCTTCAATTTCCGAAAGAAAAAGAATACATCATATATGATCAGAAAATGGTAAAAACACAAGTATGCAGCTCAGGCCATCAAACAACAATCAAAATGTCAATAGAGCCCCCTCTCATATTTCCCCATTTAAGAGATAAGCACTGTGTACAAGATGAATGCTGAAAATAATTTAACAAGTTTGGTCAGTTACCTTCCAAGTTGACCAAGAAGAGTAGTAATAGCAGCAGCATTGTGCTCTGTTGAACAATATTCCAATAAATCCAATAGTGGACATGCAATTTTGTCAAACATCCAATCCCAGCTCTGCTTGAGAGATAAAAAATAATAGAATTAGGCAGAAAACTTCTGAGGAATGAACTGAAAAGCAGGAAAGTAATTACCTACCCAAAGCCCCCTTCCCCCCACCCCCACCCACCCTATTGCCCACTAGAACCTAACAAGAGAATTATGCAAGATATTATTTTTAAGGAAAATGTTTCTCCAAGAACATCCTCCATTGAGTAAAAGATCCAACAAAAGATAGAGTGAGCATAAAGAAGATTCAAATACAACAATATTGGAGTTAAGAGAGTTAAGAATTTGGGTGGAGAAGTAGTACGACTTCAATTGCTCCCATAAATGTCTACTTGAGGAATCAATTGAGAGAATTTCATAACCACCATGCGACCTAGTCAACAACAACATATCCAGTGTACTCCCACAACTATAGTCTCCAGGAGGGTAGAGTATATGCAAATTTTACCCCTACCTTGGAAGATAGAGAGGTTATTTCCGATGCATATCAAAGGAAATCGAAAAAGAAATAACACAAGTGAAGAGATCATGGGAAAATACTATAGAGAGCATGAAAGCATTCGGAAACAAGAACAGTTTCTACAACAAAAAGTGTGATAATTGAAGTATAAGAGACGTCAGA